CTTAGGAAAATGGAGGCAAAGAAATCATTAAATATGTTGGCTTTGTCATCTGGTGTGACAACCAAATTTCCTAACATGTTCTGCAGGGGCCCCACATTACCCGGAACCTTCTTTTTACCCCCTATGTATTTAAAGAAGGACTTATTGTCCTTAATCTGGGAAGCTAGTCCTAGTTTTATCTCTGCCTTGGCCTTCCTGACTGCCCCCCTACATCCCCGAGCAACTGAAGTATAGCCATCCCTGGTGATGGCCCCTCCCTTCCACTGGATATATACCTCCCTTTTGGCTAGGAGACATTCCCGGATGCTTTTGGTGAGCCATGGGGGCTTTTGTGCCCTCCTGTTCCCTTTGATCCTCGTTGGGATTACCTCCCTTTGGGCTTGGAGGATCGTCTTCTTAAGGAGCGACCACTCTCCTTGGACACCTGGCTCCCCTCCGCTCTGGGACCTCAGTGCTTCCCGGAGTATTCTCCTTAGCTCTTTAAAGTCCACCCTCCTGAAATCTAGGGCTGTTGCCTTGCTGCAGGCCTTTGCTACCTTGCGCTGGATGGTGAATTCCAGCAGGCGATGATCACTGTCGCCCAGTTGATTGCTATCCTCTTTATAACAACCATTTTTGTCTTTGCAAATTACCATCACCTTCCCATCCCACCCCATCTGCTCTCCTCTAACTAAATAATCCCAGTTCTTCCAACCTTTCCTCATGTCCTGGTTTTTAGTGACCTCTAATGATTTGTGTTACTCTTCTCTGGACTCTCTCCACAACTTTATTAAATAATCATGCCGCAAACTGACCTCAGTACTCCAGGGTGAAGACTCAGTGTTGAATAGACTGGAAGTGTTACTTTCCATGACTTGCATACAAGATTCCTGATCCTATATTCCAGTATGCTTTTAGTCATTTTTTTCAACATTGTGATCCACTATAACCCCCTGAACCTTTTTTGTAGCACTGTAGCCTACCTAGTCATTCCCAATTTTGTATTTGTGGATTTGATTATTCTTTCTTAAAAATAGTACTTTGCACTTTGAATTTCATCCTGTTTATATAAAATGAATTTTTCCAATTGATTGAGTCATCTGGGTTCCTCATCTTGTCTTCCAAAGTATCTGCTACACAACCCAGTGGTGTCTGCAAATTTACTATACTAAGTATGCATGCAATTCCATCTTCCAAGTCACAAATGAAGATCCTGGACACACCCTAGACCAGCAGATTCCAAATTGTGGGTTGTGACCTCAAATGGGGTTGCAACATCAGGGGTTGGGGTCACGGGATTTCTGCACTCACAGTGGGGCATGGGGCTGCAGTGGGGCTGGACCAGCTCCTGTTAGGAGCTGCCTCCACAGCCCACCGTCATGACTGGCAGCGTGAGATGTGGCAGTAGTGGCAGCACGGGGTTGTGCCCCCACTGCTGACAGGTGGACAGGGTACCTCAGCTTGGCAGCCATGGCAGTGCAGCACTCCTTCTTGTGCCAGATTCCACCCACTGGGCCAGGGAGCCCCAGGGGGAGGGCAGCAAGGCAGGGAGCCCCAAACTTGCAGCCAGCAGCCTGCATCCTTCCCATCCCATGGGCTCTGCTCTGGCTGTGCTGCCCACAGGGGAGGGGACAGATGGAGAGGGGGCAGGAGCCAGGTTCCACACTCCACTCTGGCCGCAGCAGCTGCTGCCTCCCATGGGCAGCAGCCGGGGCTTGGGCACTGCTGGGGGGGCAAGGGGCACTGCAGGGGGCAGGGGAGGGTCCAAGGCACTCTATAACCCTTTTGTTCCATGCTATATATCTCAAGCCTCTTCAAACTTTCTGCCCTCATGTCTTGTGCCATTACATTCCCCATTTTGTCTGTTTTCACATGCATCCCCATACTTTCTTCAACTTTCTCTCCTTACTCTCTTCCAACAATTGTTGGTTTCACAAGGTTTTTTAGCTGCCTTTCCCTCCTGCTCTAAGTACTATCTTAAGGTCACTTCTTACGCTTTGCTTTCCAAGATGGAATCCCGAACTCGTTCACAAAGTTTATTTAAAAAAGAAAGCAGTGAGAAAGTTAGGAACTACAGCCCCTGTGTTGATTAAAACCTGCCCTTTCCTTTCAACCCTGAACCTCTTTATTAGTTGTCCTAGACTGTAAATTGATTGAGAAAGGACCAGTCTTATTTTAACTGGTTTTAAAGCACCGTATGAACTCCTATAGGTCTGTATAAATCGATTTTAAAGTAATGAGCATAAGCAACAGTAGTGCAAGCAGTAGCAAAACTAGGGTTGGATGACCAGGGTACAAGACCCAGATGCTGATTATGGGGGACAAGAAGGGATGCTGGAATGGAGGCGGGGGTGGAGGGGGGGTGCCATGGTGACGGCAGGTGGTTGCTTTGCATAGGCTCACCCAAGGGCTGGAGGCTGCAGCTGTGCAGACTGGTATCAGCCTCGCTTCCCCTGTAGCGCTCTGTAAAGAGCAACAGTTAGAAGTCCAGGAGCTCCCCTGTGCCCACGACACAGATTGCTTGTTGAGAAGAGCCGTGTAGCTCAACACAGATATCGGAGATGACTGTACTCAGCAGCGGGGGAGTGATGCAGACTTCCACAGCTGGCTTAGTTATGAATGATGGAGGAGATATCGAAAGGGGAGTTCTGGCTGTCGAAAGGGGAGTAAGAGGGTGTGATATGGGGAGCCATACTTGCTGTCCCCACTGTGCAGAGCACAATGAAAGGTTTTTAGTATTTCCCATGCTTCTGGGCTTTGCTGCTTGCCATGGGGTGGGGCAGAAGAAATTCCCCTCTTGCCACTCCTGTTGCTACAAGTATCAGGGGATCTTTTTCACCTTTCTCAGAAGCATTGGGTAGTGGCTGCAACTAAGGCTGGGGTTTGTGGCATTGGTTCTGTTGGGACTAAAATCTGGAGGTTCCTGGCTCGAAGGTCTTGCCCCTCCACTCAGGATCAGAGCAATCGCCACATTTGGGATCAAGAAGGAATTTTACCCCATGGTCAAATTGGTACAGACTGTGGGGGTTTTGCCTTGCTCTGTAGCAGGATTTTGGCCCTCTTCTTAGGATCTCTCAAGCACACTTTAATAACCTGTGTAGCAGCAAGACATGGGCTACCATTGTCCCCCCTGCTTTACTTGTGGCAGTTCAGGGTGCTGTGCTGGTAGTTTTGCGACAGGGTTAACAGTTTAATTTTAATAAGAGGTTAGACAAGGATTTGCACAGAAAGGCATGGATAGGATGATCCTGCCTCAGGCAGGACGTTGCATTAGCTGACCTCTGGAGATCCCTTCCAGGCCTACTTCTCTGTGATTCTAATATTTGTGCCACACCTTGCAAAGGTAAAGTGCCGCATGCATGTGTATGTATTATTCAAAAGGTAAAACATTGCTTGTGGTCAGTCCATTCCTGAGCCTAATGATCTCCATTTTGTTTGAATTTCACAGGCTGTCTGCGAAGACGACAGAGAGGACTGAGTCCCTGTATTGTCTGAAGACTTCCTCCCTCCCCCCACAGGGTAGGTGGATACTTCTCAATTACACATCTCTAAGGCGATCATAACTCCAAAAAAGGTGCAGAGTCAGCTGACCAGAGAGTATTTATGGCATGAATTCATAAAGTATGTATTCAATTAAAATATGTAAAATGTTTCAAGGACGTGGCTTTGTACATTTCTGCAGGTTGGACACGTCAGTAATTTATGCACTGTCTGGTTTGCATGGTGTATGTGGCTATTTACTCTTGTCTTCAATTGAAATGTGCACCATAGCAACCCTTACATTATTTATGCTACCTCTGAGAGGCAGACCATTTTCCTGAGGAAACGCATGCACAGTTACAAATATAATGTCACGAATGTTTGAAATGCTACACAATGAAAAAAAAGTAGGGACTTCTGCAAAAAGAACTGAGAGTCACGTTGCCGTAGTCTGGAAAGTTTAGGCTCCTGCTCAGGGGAGAGAACAGGGGCTTTTACTTCCCTAGTTTATGATCATTTCCAAAGTCAATGTTTGAGGTTTTATGTACTAATACGTTCTCTCTCTCTCTTTCTGTTTCTCTGAGTTTTGAAGAAAGTCAGCGTCATGCAGCCCTGCTAGAACCCTCTTCACTGGATATGTACCAGGTTGAGGAGCTGAGCTCCCACCATACTTGACTTTTGTACCCTTAAGCTTCCTTTGGTTTCAGTGAACTGCTGCACTGTCCTTCCCCCTGGCCTTTTTGGCACACTTGGGTACAGATTATCTGCTGATTGCCCATTCATGGAGTACATCTCACAGCCTGGCTGCCTGAGATCAAATCTGTCCATCGCTTAAGTACCTTGGTACTTTGGCCTTACACTTCACTGTTTTGGAGAGAAGTGATAGTAGAAGCAGACAGACACATGCACTATAGGTTTGTCTATATATTTGCTGGTGCTGCAGCTTTGCTGGCAAAGCCCTGCTGGCACAGCCCCCTACTAGAGATATGGCATATGGCAGAATAAGGGACTTCTTTCTGCAAGCTTCACTTCTGAATGACAGGAGCCAAGCTGAGTGGAGCCCCACATCAGCTATGCCAGCAAAACTTTGCAGTGTAGGGATCTAAGAACCCCTCACACTTTTCTTTTGCTAGCACAAGATATATGTAGGTCTTAGTCAAATATATGCCTACACACATTTCTCTGCCTCAGTTTCCTCATTAGTCCTGAGTATCCTTTGGGCTTAAGTCAGAATACTCTGCTAAACTGAACCCCTCTGCTATGAAAGCATGCCTCTCTTGGTCCTCTACCCTGCTCAGCCTTCCTATATCTCATGGAGTCCTTATGAAATCCTCCCAATTTCTTTGTTTAGGGATTTCCCACTTTCCAAGACCCATCTCCTTGCTGTGAGCTTAGAGAAAGCTAGCATTGCCCAGGAAATAACCATCACATTGTCCCATCTAAATGGGATCCATTGAGGCTTATGTGAGACAGGAGTTTTGTGACACAGGCTAAGAGAATGTGACTGACTCCACATACACTAAGGCAGAGATAGCCAACTCATGGCATGCGTGCCACAAGTGGCATGGGCAGGCTCTGTGTGTGTGGCATGCAGCAGATAGGGAAGAGAGTGGGGAACACAGTGGCAGACAGGGCATGGAGCAGGAAGTGGAGCAGGAGATTAGGCAGAGGAATGGGATCAGAGTGGCACTCCGGGAGGATGTAGGGCTCACCTTTTAGCACACCAACCCAAAAAGTTGGCCTCCACTGTACTGAGATGTTCAGTGACACAGCTGTTTCATAAGATCAACCAGAATTAATAACTTATATATAGACAGGTTCCCCACATCGTCACAGTTGGCCTCATAACTAAGGAAAACATTTGGTAATTCATCTATGAAGCATCCTTTTTTTTTTTTGCCCCAAGCTAGTGGTAACTTCTGGAATTTAACTAAAGCAACTGTGTCCTGCTTTATACCATGGTTGCCTCTGAGCTGGGAAGTATTCAAGTCCTACCCTGTGCCATACTGCATGATATGGTATGGCCCCCCGTTAAGAGTACAGAGTTTCAGATGAAACTTGTATCACAGGCCTTTCTGCACATCTCTGGCTTTCAGGGAGGAAGCCTGATGTTTGCTTAGACCCTTCTGTTTGTAATCTCAGTTGGTCTGTTCCTTCCCAACTATCTGCATATCCATTAGGTCAGGATATACTGGTGATATTCAGCAGCACATGGAGCAAAGCATTTGCCAGACATCTGTAGTCCATTCAGAAACAGCTGATATGTTAACATACAGCTCTGAAAAGTCAGTTCATTTGGGGCCCTTTGTAATAAGTTATAAACATCATCTATTTCTCTGCATAATAGGTCCCCAAAGAAGGAGGTAAAAAGAAGGTAATACATGAACAAACTTCAGAGCACATCAAAGCTTTTCATTACATGCCATTTATTAAATGTGAGTCTGTTAACGGGCTGTCACTAATCAGTGAAGAGTGATCCAGTGAAAGTTTTATGGCCTCATTTGCATTGAGGGTTTACATTAGGGGTGAATTTTTGCAGCATTCCAAGTTTCAGTCCATAAATACATTAGGTATAATGTGGTCAGTTAAAGCGAGAGGATGAAGCGGCTTGAGGGTGCACAGAGACAGTGAAAAAGAGCAATGAATTTGTATTTTGGCAGAGATAGAAGCCTGAATTTATGTCAGCATCCACAGACAAGTGAAATAGCCCAGTGTTGCACTGTAGAAGTGATTCAATGAGACACTTGTCTTTAATGACAGATCTTAATTTCTGTTTGTAATAGAATGAATGGGTGTTATGCAACATTTCTCTCATCTTCCAGCTGTAGAAAACAACTACATCTGGCACATAAAGTAACAACGGAATGTATCTGAAGGCTGCGCTGTTATTCAAACCATAGCTACACATACATGTTCAGATAACTCACAGGAAAGGAAGAATATAGCCAGTTTGTCAGATGACAATACATTAGCTTGGAGGAGGGGGAAAAATGAAGCCAAAAGAGATTTTGTACAAAAGAGATTTTGTACTCCAGATAATTTAAAATAAAGAAGAGGCTCTCTCTCAACAAATTCATGTAAACTGGCAGAGCCTGAATTATACAAACAGCAGTTTAAAAAACATTAATGCAAAATTAAGAGGGATGTTAATGATTTCACCATGCAACAAGTGTGCAACAGATGTTAGAGGCCTATCGTTACAAAATTGTGTGGTCTGAGCTGACAATTTACTGTGTGTTCCCCAGCATTTATCTGAAGATAAGGCTATAACAAGCATGCTGTCAGCTATGTAAAATACAAAGTCTACACAAAGAGGAAATGCTGCAAATCTGACAATGGTGCTTTACATTGCTTATTCTAAAACAAAGCTGCTATTTCATAGTATTTCAGAATGAGGAGTTAATAGTGCCAGAGTTCTTGTAGCCAGAAATCTGTCAAACTCAATCCCAGCGAAGACCCACATTCTTTCCAATTTCCTTGATCATACTGTGGCTGAGTTTTCCAGTGAACCACAAGTTAACTGGCCGGGTCTTAAAATGGAGCAGTTCATTTTAACTGCAGTTGACATTTGGATTCTGAAGATGTATCCAGCTTTCATGGTCTGTTATCCCCTATTTGGGTGAAAAGGCCTCAACTATTATATGCCCAAAACAGAAATTAGTGAACCAAAGACTAAAAAGAAGTAATGCATGTAACAGTGGCATATGGGAATGTTTTGGCTGTTTTAACTTGTCAAATGAAAGTTGATTTGTTTCTTGATTTTTATATTTATTATTTGTTTCTTAAATTGCAGCCTGTTAATTTTCTTAGTGTCAGATAATGGCAAACCAGGATGGCACAAAAATAATACAGCTCTTACACATCCAGCTGTAGGAGGCATACACTCTTTTGAATTACAGGGACCATTCCTTAAATGTACTGAGTTGTTCTCTACTTAAATATTTTTACCTACCAAACAATAATAAAACTTTGGAGAATACAGCACATGCTTACCATTTGAATAAACAGTTTGCTTGCAAATGAAAGGTTTTGCTGACAGGCTGAATAACAATGTCATTTGAGCAGGTTTGCAAGCTAAATATTAAGGCCCCAATTCTCAGTGACAGAAAGGCCTTTCTACATCACATTGGCAGTTTAAATGTGACTTCATGTGGGAGTAAATTACATGCTTGATGGGTGCATCTACACAAGATGCTAGCTGCTCAGTAGCCAAATAATACTGCGCAGTAGCGACTCACAGCACAGACAATGCTAATACACTACTGTGCAGTATTATTAGGCTACCATGCACTAGCGTCACTTAAAGGTGTTCACGGGCAGTACTGTGCTGCACAGTGACTCTGGTTACTTGCTTATATATGTACTGCCACTGTGCGGTAGCGTCTCATGTCAACATGCCTGATGACTGCAACCAGGTTTTAGGTTAGATGAGAATCATCCTTGTGGGGGTTTTTTTAGATGTAGTATGTTCATGTGGGCTAAGAATCAGGGTGGAATAGACATAAAATTCAAAGTAACATTCATGCAGCATATGGGTTTTGCTGTCAAGAGTATTAGTGAATCTCAGCTGAGCCCTTCAACTGAAAGTGATCGATGTCTTTACATACTGTGTGGGCAGCCATCTTCTCAGTTAAAAGAAGAAAGTAGATGAGATACATACAGACATACATTCATGTCTGTTTTTTAATACCCACACTTAATGGTTTTGGTGCATGGCATTTCAATAGTAATTAATGAGTGGATATAGTTAAAAGGCATATCATTATGCACATGGCAGTTCCAGACTTATTTCTGTGCCACAGTGATAAATGAAGTGAATTCACAGCTTTTTTCCAGTCACTTGGAAGATGTTCTGTAGGCAAAAAATAGAAAGTGTTAAATTATTAAGGATCAGCCTCTTTGCATATGAAAATGGTATAGTGTCATATTAAATACACTGTATTAAGAGGTCAATTAGAGACCTACTTTGAGTTAATGAAATTATTTCTTTTTATTTTACATTTTAAAATGCAATCTTTCAAGGGATACTTTAAATTAAGGGAGCAGATAACATTCAAGTAATCTGGGCCAAAAAAGTAACTACTAAGAAGTCCATGAGAATGATATCAGAGGGTAAGATACATGTGTAAAGGTGGGTTGTAAGGGGTTTTGCTTGTAGCCTTGTTGGTCTAAGGACATAGGCAGACAATCTTTGGGTCAATCTGATATCTTTTATTGGACTAACTAAATAGTTGGAAAAATTGTTCTTTGCAAGCTTTCAGGCACAAACACCCTTCTTCAGACATAGAGAGAGTCCGCTGGTGTTGTGTGTGCTCTCCTGGGTGAAATAAAAGCCAAAATGCAAAATGCAGGTCTGTGAAAATGCAAGTGTGGCAGTGAGGATCAGAGGGAATAGGAGACAATAGGAGTGAGATAGCTAGGCAAGGTGGGGGGAGGGGAATATCCAATTACCTGTGGGTGTACAATTCTCACAAGACAGCCGCTCTCTCCCGAATCTCTCAATTCTAATCCTCGTTGGGAATTTACAAAACACCTTTCATAGATGAGCCTGTGAAACTTCAGTTCATAATTCTACTGCATACATTAAATCATGGACTAAATATAGACATTTATATTTATTATATATTTATTTATATTTATATGCTTTATGGCATATTATAACTTGCCTGCCATCAGATAACCCCAGGTAATCTGCCTGCATTTTACCAGCTACATTCTACCACCAGGTCAACATTCCCCCCCACCCCAACGTACCTGTCTCAGTTTTGCCAACTATTTAGTTGGTCTAGTAAAAGAAGAAAGTACATTTACCCAAAGAACCTTGTCTGCTGGTGGGTTTAAGGCTTTTAGAATGTGTATATTTTTCATAGTTCACTTATTACTCTATTATGGACATGAATGAGTCGTCATTTTTGGTGCTATTTGCACATGTGAGAAATAAATCATTAAAGTAAATCTGTACTTCAGCTTTACTTCCTATGCTCTTGCCTGTGGCTTTGTTTAGCAACACATTTAAGCACTTGCTTAAGTTCTATCATATTGGAATGTAGGATTTATCTTAAGTTTTATGGGACTTAAGTTTTATGACTAGGAACTGTTTTTGTTTTGGAGACATGTTCTCTGCAGAGCTTAGCAAAGAAAAACAGTACTTCATAATTGAATGAAATATAGTTGTGATAGTAGTTTGAAAACTCTATTGGGCATGAAACCAAGAAACAATTTTGCATTTGCAGCTGGATAAACTAATTGGTCATTTCCACATCCAGTTGCTAAGACTTAAAATGGGGATGTTGCTATTAGCATTAGGCAGAAACTTATGGTGAGGGGGGTTAGCTGGGCTTAGTTATTTAGTTTGAGTGGGTACATCTACACATGGCCATACGGTGCTGTTGTTACTGTGCTGTCATTTAGTACTTCCTTTTGGAAATACTAACTGACAGCACAGTAATAGCCCGTACTGCGCCATGCTGTTTGTGCATGGTTGTTTCAGCTGCTACGTCACCGTAGCAGTGTACTATAAGGATGGAGCACATTGTTACAGTGACATAGCTGTGGCATCATGGTTTTTGCTCATCAATGCTACGTTGCCATAGCACATTGCTACGGTGACATAGCATCATGTGTAGACATGCTCAGAGTCTCACAAAACGTGACGTTGATACATTGGCCCAAGTTAATTGAGCTGGACCTCATTAATCAACCAGATATTCCATCTTTCAGGATTCATTTTTCTACCTCATTCACTTTGTTATTTGTGTGCCATGATGTTTGTCTTATTTCTTGGCACAGTGTGTCTCTCTTGATCTGATTCCACTGATTTTTCCCTTTCAAACAACAGAGGAAAAATGGGAAAATTGTGGAAAACAGAAGGGGAGAATTAGGTCACGCTAGAAATTCTGAAACATCAGCAAAGCTCTTGTTTAAAGTGATTAATTCAGTGACCTCTGACCACCCGGCAGACCTTCAATTTGCCAGCAGAGGATAAAAGAGTCAAGACCTGAATGAGTAAAGAAGGGATGAAGGTCAAGTTAATCCAGTAACTGAAAAAATGCTCAGAAATAAAAACTATTTCCCCCTCTTCTCTGGCCCTTTTCATGCATCCCACTGCACATAACTTATTTCTGGAGATTTTGGAATATTGTGTATGTGTGTATGTTTATTTGATCTGCCGTGGTTGATCTAGAAAGCAGAACAAACTAATGCTCATAACAGTGCAAAGTGTCATGCTCTGCATGTCTCTATAAGAAAAATAGAATGTACTTACAAAATGTTCTGGGGTAAAGGTTAAACAAGATACTGCAGGCAGCCTGTTACATTTCCATCCTTATGTTTATATTACTCAATTTAAAGTGTATATGTTTGTAATAGAAAGAGATGGGTTTGTCGGTAGCACTGAGCACTTTTTGCTTGAATCGCTTGTAAACCTCCTATAGCAGAATATAATCTTTCATCTATAGTTATAAGCCTTTAAGCTGCTTATACTATTTTTGCTCTAAATTCAACTTTCATTTGGACAGTCTCCAACAACTGGGAATAAATTAACACTTAAAAGGCCTGTAATAAATTCCAACTAATGTAATCAAAATTAGTAAAGGAGGTATCTTGAAACAACTTCTTCACTTTGGTTATGTTGTATACACTGTTACTGCTGTCCCAGAAGCAAATGCCTGACTTTGCACAGTACTGGCAACCCCCGCTTAACATGGTTTCGATCAGTGCTATTTCACTATAGCACTCATTTAAAATTGATACCTGGTTTCACTGAGCGCTCAGTGAGTTTCGCTATAGCGCTCAGTGGAATCAGCAAGTTTTGGTGGGAAGGCAGGGAGAAGCAGCAGTGGTGGCGGGAAGAAGCACTGGTGGTGGCAGCGGCAGCAAGTGCGGTGAATGGCAGAGGGTAGGGGGCGAGCATGAACGTGAAGCTGCTCAATACACACTGGTGGGGCAGTGGAGCGTCCCATGGGAGGGGAGGCTGTTTTGCAGCCGGCCGGGAGCAAGGCTGGGTTTACAGCTGGCTAGGCATGTAGCAGGGATGCTGCAAACTCCCCTGCTCCTGGATGGCTGCAAACATTCACCCCGCTCCTGTGGGATGCTCCACCGCCTCAGTTCACCAGCCGAAGCAGTGGCGGCGGCGAGAAGTGCAGGGCCTGCACCAGTCAGGGCCAGCAGGGTCCTGCACCCAGGGTGGGGCAGCAGGAGTGCAGGGCCCGGGGCCAGGGTTGGCAGGGGCCCATGCCCAGAGAGGGGCAGCAGGAGTGCCGGTGCCCAAGCTGGCACATGGGGCTGGCGGGTAGAGGCGGCGGCGGTGAGAAGCAGTGAATGGGGGTGATGGGCATCAATGCAGGGCCTGTGTTGGTGCCCGGGGCCACGGCCGGTGGGAGCCCAGGGTGAGGCAGCAGGTATGCAGGCCCAGACTGGCACATGGGACTGGAGCAGCCAGTGGGCTAATGGGGAGAGGCAGCGGCAGCAAGAAGCCACGGTAACCAATTACCTATATTTACATTCATTCCTATGGGCAAATGGGTTTCGCTTAGTGCATGGTTTTTCTGGAACCAATTAAGAGCGCTAAGTGGGGGTTGCCTGTATCTGCTAACCTTACTATAGTCAATAAGATCAAAAGACATTGTGAATTTAGAGGCTTAAGGTGGGTTTAGGTATTCCAGCTTTTGTAACCAAGGGCGTACAAGGGAGTGATGTGGCTAACATTATGCCTGACCACCTTTAACTCACCTGTCCGGGTGACAAGGGTACCTATGTGCCATTGGGTTGAATGGGGATAGTTGTTCACACAGGCTTGAGCAGAGCTTGAATTTGTGCCTCTGGAGTTATGGTGTAAGTTAGAGTAGTGCCTTTCGTCAAGTCATCCTTCTGTATGAATAAGCAGCCATACAGAGATACAGCTTAAAAATATTTGTGCTTTAGTACTTGCTTATGACTCAGGAAGTTCCTGAACGTACTGGCCCTTTTTATCTGACACAAGTAACAGTCTGAATGGAAACAAAGAAAACGTGCAATAAAACTAGACTTGTAGTTCATCCCAGCCATGCCACATTGTTTAATTAAGGGCTAATCTCTAAGGTTTACACATTATTGTAACAATTTACTAGTTTTATGTGTGGCTTAGAGACCATTTTACAGCAGCAAATGTTGAGTTATTAATAATGATTGGACTTTACCATAGGAAATAGAAAGATAAAATGCAGGACAAACACCTTGTCTTCACAACACCATAAATGTTGTAAAAGCCAGACAACAGCCTATTAGATTTTAGTCCTCCTCTCATACAGAAAAGTACATGCTAAAAGTATGCATTAGCTCGTATTTCTTAAGTCGTCTATTTTCCTTATAGTTTCTCAAATGAAAGCATGACAAAACCCGTAACTTTGTTTACAGCTACACAGCACACTTGCAATTTGAGTTTTCTTTGACTAAATGATTATCTCCTTTCTCTTCTTCTGTTTCCACAGACACATGAGAGGATGTTAGTGGTGGAGATCAAGTTGTTCAGAACCTTAGAAACAGAAGTTCCACAGCCAGTACTCAACTGTTTGTTACTGGACTCAGGAACTATAAATTGTTATTTTTTAATAGAATGGAAAATCCTAATAGTGCAAATATGAGTGTACACTGTCTTGAATACAACAGACTTAATTCTTATTCATTGTCCTTACTGTTCTTTTGACTTCCTTCCGTAGTTTCATCTGCCAACTGAGAGGTTGGATTTGGGCCCTGATGCATTATGACGAGTATAGAGTTTAAGATGAGGTTGAGTTTTACTTTTGATGGGTGTGATATGATAGAAGAGCAAAAAGGGCTCACTTTTTATAATTAATCTTTCATGGTATTATTTTTCAAGCGCCCTAAGTATGTGGTGTTTTATAGGTGATTTACCTGAAGAACAAGTAAACCGCAATTGGAACAAAATGCATGAAATATCAGGATAGGTAACTGGGAAAAAGAGGCTGTTCTGCTCTTTGGAGAACAGGGGTTTCTTAGCACAAATCTTTCATGCTCTTGATTTAATGTCTTTCTTGCTAGTTACATACAGCATATTAATTCTTCTTGCAGCATTAACTCTAGCTGCACAGACCATTGTAAGTGTCCTGGAATAAATCCAGACAATGATTCCAAGAATTGATGCAATATATGCTAACTTCCAAACATGGCAACCTGGATAGGAATGGAGATATTGCAAGTGAGAGTAACAGAAAGCACTGACACAATGCATCACAACAGATTCTTCCCAGCAGTTAAGATTTATGATGTCAACTCCACAATGCAGAGATGTAAATGAAAAGAAAAGATGGGAACACTACTGATTTATTGGGGCAGGCACATGCAAACTTTAATAAGTGGATCTTCGACACACAACCTTGAATAGACTGTTTGGCTCTTTTCCAATATATCAAGGCACTCAGTAGTTGGAACTGTTACAGAATCATTCTGGAAACAGTCCATTCTCAGATTTTCAAAAGTTATGTTTTAGAAAAGCAGCTTTGCTAAGCTACTGCTGTTAACTTGTATGAGTTTTCCTGAAGTCAAAACTGAATTTATGTGGCTATAATTTTCTAGAATCAAGTGAATGGGTTTTTGGAAAAGTCATCTCAAACCATGCATGGATTCTCAGACACAATCTCCAGTGTAACTTGGTGTTTTGGGAAGTTGATTTGCTATTAAATATTCTTGTTTTAGAAGCTGATGATTACGGAAAAAAGGAAGACATCCTCATCTTCAGTAGCTTGCCATAGGTAGAAGACAGGGCAGGCAGGGCAGACTAATGTGTTAGTCTATAAAGTGCCTTTCTATCCTGCCTAATTTCTAACTAATATGGCTAACTACCTCTCTTAGGAAATTTGGATAAACTGATCTATCCAGTATGTAACTGATTGTAAGACTTGTGTGTGTGCATGCATGTGTCTGTGTACTCAGCTACATAATTTCTTAAATTTACATTGGGGTTAATTTCCAGAATAATTTTGTAAACAATCCAAAATACAAAGTAATTATTTATGCTCATGTATTTGTATGTGTATTTATGTATATGCACACACATATACTTCTGCTTTTTCCA